CACAAACAAACACACACACACACACACACACACACACACACACACACACACACACACACACACACACACACACACACACTNTCTCCAGCGCGTCCTGTTTGAATGACAGGGGTAAACACAGCTGACAGCCGCAGTGAAACTCCAGCGATTAGAGCAATGCAAATATTCGCATTGCGTCTGTTGTGAACGCAGCATAATGCAGTTCAGAGACCAGATCACTGCTCTGACGCTTTTAAAGCAACTTCGAGATTGTAACAGTGTGAGGGGCACAAAGGCCATGGTGGCCGTAGGACGTACAATTATTTGTGGGGCCTCAAAGCCAGACTAAGGGGCAACGACGGCCATGGCCGTCATGGCCATCGTGAAAATCCTACCCTGGCCGGTGCAACAGACCTGGCTAACTTCTAATTTTCACACAGCAGGGAGAGGACTGAAAGTAACTCAGAAAGCAAAAGGCTGCAGTAAAATATTTAAAAAGCATAGGCATTTTAAACAACATGATACACAATGTTTTTTACAAGGATATGAGGCCTTTACTACAAAGCCAGTTCAACATACCCTTGATATCTGTGTGTTATCTGGCTGGCTAAATTAATTCTAAAAAACACAATCCCACTAAACAGTCCTAAGCTGGTTATCAACTTGATAAATCAGCCCAGTGTTTATCAGTATGGCAGCGAACACGTTTACATGAAAAGTGCGAGGTTAGTAGCACTTCTCAAATAATCACAAATATACAAGTGTACTGTCAGCATGGCGTAATACATCATGAATGAAGAATAAACTATAATATCAGAAAAATACAAAGAATTTCGCACATGAACAGGTCCCGTCTAAGGAACAAGTAAATCTGAATTTAATTAAGTTTGAATGTTTCATCGACTCAATGTGTTGCTTGGATACATTTTCATCAAGCAGAATAGAAGATATATCCCACTTTATTCATCCTCAAAAATACATATAAAAAGGTAATTTAACGCGGTAAGCAGGCTCAATTTGCTCAGGAGTAGGTCAGGTGATCTACCCCACTTAGATTGAACCACCAGTGTAGGACTTAAGACATCACACAAACCTCAAACCCTGCTTCAGTGTACAGGCCAATGTTCTCTGAATGGGCAGAAAGGGTGCTGAATATCAGGGCTGAACACCCAACTGTGAAAAACATTGCACTTCACACTAAAATTAAGGATGTTTGAAAAGTCGGAGGTGCTCATCAGGAACCCTCTACTGACATTCAGACAAGGACAAAGGACAAGAGGAATGAAAACAGGAGACAGAAATTAAGTGCAGCAGAAACCTTGGAGAACCACCCCAGCCCCCGCCTAAGGAGAGTCTTCATTGTGGGAGAGTCTCCACCCGTCTTCCAAAAAACCTCATCCAGTTTAAACTTAATGATAAGATGAAGGAGCTGGTCAGGGCCAGAACCAAACTTAACCCCCTCTCTACTAAACAACATTTGCAACAATCATCTGATGGGACCAGTGAATCTTTCTAGGAACTTCATCCCGTGTTTCAGTAGCCTCTTTATCCGTCTTGATAAGTAATAAAAAGACAAATTGTGAATCTTCTAAGAAACAAGCCAAGCGCTCAGCAACATATTTAGCATCAATTCCTTATCCACAGTATTTTGTTTGTATTGTAATTTAACTAACTTGTACTAGCTTTATTAAACCTCAGGTCTTTGGCAAGAAAACTACTTTTTGATCAATGATGAGCACATTCTTGACCTCAGTAATACTTGTTTGACTAAAATAATTAGTTTTAGGAGTGAGGCTAGAGTGCATAAGAAAAGCAGGAGTGACTATTTTTGTTTTATCATTCCTTTCAATGCAAACAGATATCTTGACATACCCTAGATATCTACGGGGCCACCCAAATACTGTACAACATTTTTCTATTACTTTAATGAACTGTTGTCTATAGTATATATTGACTTTGACCGTGTAATCATATTGTTGATATCCCCTAGGACAGAAAGGGCTTGAGAACTGTGTTGTGTTCTCGATAACTATGCATCGACTCCCACACAAGATAAAGGAAGGAAGGAAGTCTCTGGCAAGAAAAGATCTCCATGGAGAAATGTCATGCTAGTAAGAATAAAAAAAGAGTGTTGAAAAGCTTGATGCTGGTGGCTAAAAACAAATCTCCAGGTTCATTGTGACATGTATAAGAGAGACTTTGTTTTTATCATTTGGGACTGAGAAATGCATGGCAGCATTTCTTCTTCAACATCATCGCCAAAACAATAATGCATGTGCCTTGTTTGCTAATGTCAACAGACTAACAAACCCTACAGTATTAGAAGCCATTAACTACTATCCACAAGGGCCTGAAATGAGTTAGCTTCTTCTTTACTGCAAAATTTGAAAATTATACAAGTGGTCAGTGACTACGTATCAAGATAGGATATGTGTTTCTTTGTGTCCACTTAAAATCAATTCAAACACCATGACACAACAATTTCTGATCAACCATAAAAGCCTGGAGGAACTAAAATCCTCCTCCTGCTGCCTTGATGTTCTACCAACAGGCTTTTAAAAAATGTTTTACATCGCATGGCCTCAGATCAACTTCAATTTGTCACGTCTATTCTCTCAGGTGTTTTCCCACAGGCCTTGAAAACTGCAATCAGCACAACCTTTTAAAAAAATAACAATCTCTACACTAAAGGCCCCATAAAACCTTGCAGTAAGTATCATTGAGTACATCAATGACATCCACATGCAGAATCTCAGATTTTGGTCATAGATCTCAGTACTGCATTTCGGCAAATTGACCACAACACATTAGTAGGCCAAAGGAAAAACTGGGTTAGACTTCCTGCCAGGAGCTTTGTCTGTATAGGTTACTTCACATCTGAGAGGACAAATGTGACATGTGGAGTACCTCAAGGCTCCATCCTGGGGCCTCTTCTCTCTAAAATCTACATGCTTTCACTGGTTGAGATTACTAAAAACAATAACATAAGTTACCATAGCAATGCACAAAATGTACATAAACATTTCACCGGGAGGCTATGGTCCAATACAAGCACAGAGTATAAGCATTGAACAAATCATTTGTTGGACGTGTCAGTTTGCCCATTCGGTATTATTTTATTTTTACTGACTGAGGGTGGGTTCGATAATCCTACATTAATTAATCAAAGAGAAAACTAAGTTAATTGTTTTTGGAGCCAAAGAACATTGAAAGTTAGTGCTTGGCAATGGTAAAACCCAAAGGCCAGAAACCTAGGTGCAGTCATGGACTCTGACCTGAATATCAACAGTACATTTAAGATGATAACAAAGACAGCCTTCTATTACATTAAGAATAGATCAAGGAGTAAAGGACCTATGTTCCCAGCAGGTTTCGGTAAAACTTTTCCATGCTCTCATCTTCTGAAGACTTGGCTACTGAATTTTTGTTTTCCTAAAAAGTCAATTAGACCGCTTCCACATTATTCAGAATGGTGCTGCTGATCAAGAAAGTGGATCACATCACTCCAGTTTTGAGGTCTTTACACTGAATTTCTGTGTGTCAAATCATTGAAATCAAAATACTGCTGCTGGTTTATAAAGCACTAAATACATTTCTAATCTCTTGCTACATGTTGAACCATCCAGAACCCTCGGGTCTTTTGCGACGGGTCGGCTTTCTGTTCCCAGAAATAAAACTAAATATGGAGAAGCAGCATTCAATTATTGTGCTCCATATACATATCTGGAACAAGCTCCCAGAAAACTGCAGGACTGATACAACTCTGATTTTTAAATCAAGACATAATACTTTTTGCCGCTGCTTTCAATTAAATCAAATAACTATTTATATCTTACACTGCACTGAACTTTTATGTTTGTAATTTATACATGTTTGTATCTTAAGTTTTTTTCAGCATGCTTTCAATGTGTTTTGTAAAGCACTTTCAATTGCCTTGTTGTTAAAATGTGCTATACAAATAAACTGGCCTTGATTTAACCCTCCAAACAAGAGCATTTATTTCACACTGGGGGGAAATGTAGCTTTTGGGTCATTCTGTTTTCCAAGTGCACTGTATTTATAAATCAAATCTCTGGACAGCAGAGTTGGAACTACTATGTGCAGCAGAGCCCATCTCCAAGGTTGATTACATTTTTATGTTTGAATTAAAAGAAAAACAGACTGAATATGACTAAGACATGAAGTTGTTATTAAGGAGTTGTCACTTTTAACTCACCTCTGTCAGTAACAAAAGGCGCTTTCACACCGCAGTACTTTTCCCACAAAGGTTCATCAGAACTTAGTTCATGAGAACTCTTTAGTTCTCATGAACTAAGTACAGATCGCGTTCACACCGGAATAAGTCCCTGAGGGAGGATTAGGCAAATGAAGCCGCTGACGTCACATCGTCTTCTTCTGCTTTGGGTTTACTGGCAGGCCGCAAAAAACTTCACGTCGTATACTGCCGCCCAAGATCCCCGGCCGGAAGTCCCCGGAGTTAGGACTGGCTTCAGTAGAAGCTGCTGGGACTCCCAGCAGCTTCTACTGAAGCCTTCCGAATAAACGGCCAGAACTCCGACACCTCCTCATCTCCACCGCTCCCATGTTTAATTTTGTGTTGACTTAAGTTAGTCTCTCTGCGTTTCTGCGCTGGGCTAATGCTAATGCTAATAATGATAATAAAATGGCGGCTTCACAAACGTTTTTGGGAGTTTGACGGGGCATGGTTTGCATTCCGCCCAGCCAATCAGACTCAGGAACCTTTTTCTCCCACGAAAGTCCCTGCTCTCTAGCAGGGACTGAAAAGGGGGTAAAAAAGGTTCTGATTTACTAATTTTAGTTCCGGCTCTTTTTGGTGTGAACGCGACATTTCGGAAGTATATATCAGAACTAAAGTGGGAAAAGTACTGCGGTGTGAACGTGCCTAAAGACTCCCTTTATTGCCAATACTACGATGGTACATTTAGAATATGCCGACACTAATCACAACTTTTTTTTGGCTTTTTCCGTTTTGTACTCTCAAATGATACTTCCTGACTCACCACTTGAGCTCATCCAGCTGTAACCTTTGCTGGCCAGCATTGTGCCGGCTTTCCCTGAGCTCTTCCTGCCTCTCCTCAGCCGCTCTGGTTCTATGATCCTCCAGCCCAGCGACCTGCATACGGAAGTGGTTCAGCTCCTCCTGCCTTTAAATGACAGCAGTATTTCAGAATAGGAAAAAGTGTCTGCTGGGAACAACGCTGATCTCCTTGGGCATGACTCAGGATTGAATACAATGATATAATATAATAATAAATATTTAATAAGACAATAATAAAAGAATATGAGCTCTGGTTCCAAAAGGTCACACCGCCTGCTCTTTCTCTAGTGCTGACACAGCACTGGGGAGACTGGTCTGGCTATACAAGGATACCCTACCTTTAAATGTATTAACAAAGTGTTTCTATTCCATGTTGAGTTATTGTCAAACATGTACAGTATGTACGAACATACATTTAAGGTGTATTTCACATGACCAAGGAAAACTCTCCATCAAGAGAAAGCAAGCAAACATATGTTAGAGAAATGAATAATTGATGATTGGATTTGTCCCATGGTCTATTGTATATCTCAGTTGTTTTTTCGAACAGCTGTTGTCCCCAACACATTTATACACATAGAACATATTTGCTCTCAGGATTTTACCTCTTAAGTGATCCGACATTGAGAATCAAAATCACCAGGGTTGGTTATCAGCTATCAAAGGAATTAAATGTGGATGCAAATGTACTTTTTACCTTAATGATTTACTAAGTTTAGACATAGCATGTAGCAAATTGAGTTTGAATGAAAACACAATTCATGAATACCAAAAACTGGGGTTGTAAAGTAATGTGTAGGTGCAAAGTGCAATGTCCTTCCTACAAAGATTAAAAATAAGGTTTTATGTGAAAGCTCGTTTTTTCATTCCATTATATGTTACATTTAAGCACAATGACCTCATTGGTTGAATGTATTATTTTCTACAGTTTTGCTATCTTGTAATGCTTTTCAATATACACATACCGGTTTTTTCATTTCGATCTAATTTAAAGGTCAAACATGAACTATTCCTTCTGTTTTTCAGATTGAAAAGGGTCAGATTTAATATACCGTTTTTTCTCCTCGGTCAGAGTGCTTGAAGTTAGGGCATCATATCTCTCCAGCTCTCTGTCTTGTTCATCCAGGATGGCAAGGTTGAACTGGAAATCTTCCTTCAGTTGCTGGTAACGTTCTCTGGTAAATGAAACATTAAAGAATATTAGTCGGCTATTTTTGTGGGGGAAAAAAGAGAAAAAATACAAAGTTAATGCTATTAATGTCTAAGTAGAAGGTAATCAAAGGTTATCAAGTGAGAGAAAGTTGTCTAGACTTTCTGTTCCTTTTTCAAACTGGTGTCTGTGTTGAAGCAGGGCCAGTGACCAGCATGTCCGGTTTCTAAGTATTTAGAGAGCATGACATCCAGTTTTTCACAGCAAACAAGCTGGTCACCAATTTATTTTGGGAATTAATATCTGCCTCAACAGGCACGTACAGCTGAGTATCAAAGACAGCATTAAACATGTGTTAAGGAAATTGTGTGATCAAATGTATTAACATTGCTAACTGTAAACTGTTTCTCTGATTAGGTCGTATCCTGGGAGTGACCTTTAAGGCCCTGTTTACTTGGATACGGTTCGGGTTGTATCCGCAACTTTTCTCTTTCAAATAGCCCGTTCGTTCACTAGAGGCCGTAACAGAACCGCGGAAACGGACCCCTCAAACGATAACGGGTCCCAAGGTGGATAGATCTGCGGACTGAACACTCTGGGGGGCCAAACGGCTCTGTGTGTACGTCCTATACGATCGTTTTCCTGATAACGATGAAGCCATAGCCCCGCTTCTCCCCACCTCTGCTGCTCACTGCTGTAGCAGGGTCAGTACCTACTGCTACTGACCATGCGGGGAGAGGCGGGGCTATCGTTATTTTTTCAGGAAATGATCGTATAGAGGCGATTACACAGAGCCGTTGGACCCCCCAGAGCGTTTCGTTTGCAAATCTATGCACCTTGGGACCCGTTATCGTTTGTGGGGTCCGTTTCTATCGTTTTGTTACGGCCTTGTGTAAACGAAAGGGCTATACGCAAGAGAAACTATGCGGATCCAACCCGTTTTGTTCTCGTGTAAACGGGGTCTTAATGACAACCACAGGAAGAGAGAATGAGTGAAAGGAATTTACGATTAGGGGTTATCTGCATATCCCATTGTTCTTTGTAGGGTGTGAGTTTTTGCATACAGTGCCATGGGGCTTACCAGCTGGCCTCACAACATGTTGTTTGTAATGTAAATAAGCTCTGATGTCCTCCTATATGGAGAGCCTGTTTTTCACATAACAGTATGCTCTCTTTGGTGGAGACGTCACACTTGCAAGTATAAAAGGTCTTTGATACCTTTAACACAAATATTGTGTTGCAGTACGTTTGTTACCTAACTGATCATTTTCTCTAGACCACAGCTGATTTTAAGTTGCTGCGACACATGTGAGGAAATATATTCTTTAATTATTTAGCTTAAACCTCTACGTTCAAACGTTTTAACTGTTGTCATGTTATCATCCTTTCAGTTTGCTTGAGATTTCAACTTTTACACACTGACACAATTATATTGATATTGAATTGTACTACAAATAAACACAGTGTGCTTACACTAATTCAAGAAACAAAATCTATCCACCCGAGTCAGTTGAGTTAAGTCAGTAAGTCACAGACCAAACCAATGACTGAAACAATGAATGTGTTGGTTGATTGATTGATTGATTGATTGATTGATTGATTGATTGATTGATTGATTGATTGATTGGCAGAAACTGTTTTGGATAATTGCTTGATCTTCTATGTATCTTATGAAACAAACATGCCTAACTTATTTTCTCCATTTTATATTATTGCAAACTGATTATATTTGGGTTTGCAATGGTGGTGATGTCCCCTTAATCCCTGAGAATTAACATCACACAATTATTGTGATGTAACAACAAACCAAACAGCTACACAGCTACTTTGTTTTTTATTAAGAAAGTCAGAGACAGGGCAATCCTATCCTATTTCCAGCTTAAAGCTTCAGTGGAAATACACAGTACTTTGATCCTGACGGGAGGTTCATGTAAACGTGGTACCTGAGGGATAAGCACTCCTCCTGGGCCGTTTTGAGGGAAGTCTCCAGTTGATGAAACATCGCAGCCTGGAGCTCCTTCCACTCCATCTCTTTCCTGACCAGCTGGGCCTCCAGGTCTCCCAGTCCACTGTCCGCGTCCGACTGCATGGTGGAACTTGGATATACCTACAGCCACAAGACAAGTGTTCAATTCATCAATCAATACATATTTATATAGCCCAATATCACAATGACATATTTGCCTTAAGAGGCTTTAGTGTGTACCGCATACGACATCCTCTGTCCTTCCCAAAGAAACCACACAATTAACGGAGAGAAAATAGAAAAAACCTTGGGGAGAGCAGCCACAGACTGTATATATAAAGAGAGCAACAGAGGCGGATCTGAATCTAAGGATGGACATATGTGCAATACATGTAGTGTGTTCAGATTCAAAAATCAAGATGTAAACATATGGATAGATCCAGGTTGATGTACAAAATATACTAGGTGCCACATAAACACATCAATCTGTTTATCAAGCATTGAGCATGTTATGGTCAACATGAATATTACAAATCATTTAACACACAGACACACCCACCTTATAATATTTCAGTCCGTCAATAATTGATGTTGTGCTCTTTTTTCTCCATGTATTGCTTTTAATATTTCTAAGAACATTATATAGAAGACCCACTCACACAACAAACACTCACGCACTGTATTAAATGCATACGTGAACTTACCAAAACACAGTGGCTTCAGGTTTTTAGCAATGGTTAGGTATCTGTGACATTAGTATTTCCTTTTTTGCTCATAAGTCTTCATACTTCACGGAAAACATTACATTGAGCGAAAAATAAACAACAACTTAACACGTAACGATAGCTAAAAACATTTAACGAGCTAGATTAATAAACTAAAACTTGACTACTTCCTCGTGTGATGCAAATAGTTCCATGGCAACCTAATACGGTACGTCAGTGAAATTGTTCCCCTGCTACAATATTAGACAATGGTTCCTGCACGCCAGCGTTAGATAAAGTCCAGCCACGGTAGTGCGCTCACACGTTTATTGTGGACGAGCTTCTGAAGAAGGCGGACAGCATCTCAGCAGGTAGGCTACGGTGTGATAGTTTATTATTTTTTCTTTTAATCAATTCTTCATTTGTATATGTGTATGTGTTACGGCCTTCTCGGAATGTATTTCCCCTGTTATATAGAGTGCTCAGCAATATAGTAACAGGTAGGATGATAGTCACTCTAGTAATTTGAAGGGATCCTATGACGTTATTATAATTGTGTTGAATGGTGGTGAATAGCCTCTGGATATTGTAAGTTGTTATAACAGGAATCCGGTCAGACTGGACCCTCCTCTCAGAAATGTCGCCCGCCGGGATGCACATTGGAGACATACGCCTCGGTCCTCACGTAAGCACCGAGCTTTGTCCACATCTGTCTCGGTGTCGCATTTCACTTTCTTAGGCAGACTTAAAGGCGGACACACCGTATAAAAGGAAGCCTAACTTTACTTCGGTTCTAGTCAACTGAAGTAAATAAAAGACGGACGCGTTATTTGTCTTTTTTTAGAAACAATACAACTTTTTGGTGTCTTGGATAATGTACAAATATACTGAAATATTAGCCGGAAATAGTATTTTGTCATCCTACCAACCAAGAAATTAAGAGCAGAGAAACTATAGCGGAGTGGATGTTATTTCACAAGAAGAGATGTTAACTGAAGGTCGTTTCCTGATTCGGCGAGTGATGGAGTCACAGTGTGACGCAATGAACAGTCAACGTTAGGACTGTAATGTGGTGATGCAGAAGTAGCCAAGTGCCTACGTGCTCTCAGCAGCATATCTGAGGCTGATAATCCCCGGGCTCTGAGCTTCATCATTACTCTGCTTTCATATACCTTGAGAAGTCAAGGTCACAGGATCAAATAAATACATATTTGGGTGAAGAAAATACAAAACAAATAATCATTTGTATTTATTTCCTCAAACATTATTTTTTTAACATAATTATTTGTTTCCTTTATTTATTTCAGCCGTTATTTATTTTCTTATTTCTTATTTTTATTTATGTTATTTTCATTTATTCCTTTATTTATTTTTCCGTATATCGATAAATGTTTCCTTATCTCTTTATACTTATTGTCATTTTCTTATTTTGTTGGTCGATTTTTTTGGCGCATTATACTGTTACATTTAATATCTTAAGTACATTTAGCTGATTATACTTACTTAAGTGACATTTCAATGCAGGACTTTTACTTGTAACAGAGTATTTTTACAGTGTTGATCCGAATACTGTAAAAATAGCCTGTGATGAGAACCTTTATAATATGTGATGAAAGCCTTTATTAAAGATACACATTAATTAAAACTATTAATGGACACCACTAACATAAATCCCCACAGAGGTCCAACCATAATGCACTTAGCCGGTAACCATACCCTCAAGAAAACAGGCTGCACTGCAAGTGAATAAGGCCAATCTTCATCCACACCAGTCCAGGGTAAAAAAAAGCCAGGCATCAATCAGACACAGCGATTACTACTGAAACAGACCACACCAAACTGTAGGTCAAAAACATTCCTACAACGGTCATTCATTTGTTAAAGCTGCTGCATTTTGTTGGGATCCAATTCTACGCCTATGACTTTGGAATACATTCAGGGAACTGCAGAAACCCTCAGACGGATTGAGATGGGGAGACCCCCCCGCCCTGAGGATATGCAGCTTAGTGGAACATTTTACAACAGCTGATGCAATGTTGCTAAGCTAACTAAGTGAAGAGCTTCGGTCAGTCTAGCCAAATAATGTATTCTGATTGAAAGTTGTTCTCACTTGGTTGAGCTGGCAGCCCATATGTGGGGCTTGGTACTTATGTGGAGTCTGGTTTCAAATCCAGCCCTGGACCAAGCTAAAGTCACCGTGGTCCAAAAAAATAAATAAAAAAGAAGCAAATATCTATATGCTGGCTGCATATATTATTTGTTAAGTGAAGACATTGAACATTGAATAGACTTAGAGTTGAGCATCAATAGGCGTGTTCACACCGAGTACTTTTCCCCGTACTTTTCTCGTTTAGTTCCGTAAGTACCCCTTATTTTGTGTTCACAACAAAAAGAGTACTTAGTCCCGGGAACTTTTACCCCCATTTTTAGTGCCTGTTAGAGAGCTGGTACTATCCTAGGGAGAAAAAAGTACCAATTTCTATTGGCTGGGCGAATTGCAAACCACGCCCCGTAAAACTCTGAAAAGTTTTTTGAAGCCGCCATTGTATTTGCTTGCATTAGCATTATTAGGCGACTGTGGCTGTGAGGGAGTGTGGTCGTCTTTCAACCAGAAGGTTGTGGGTTCGATCCCAGCCCATGCAGTCAGTCTCAGGTTCGATCCCAGCCCATGCAGTCAACATGTCGATGTATCCTTGGGCAAGATACTTAACCCTGAGTTGCTCCCGATGGCATGGCCAACGGTGTGTGAATGTGTGTGAATGTTAGGTTCTAGAGTAAGGTACACTGCTCTGTATGAATGGGTGAATGACATGTAGTATGTAAAGCGCTTTGAGGGGTCTTAAAGACTGGATAAAGCGCTATATAAGTACAGTCCATTTACCATTTACCATTAGCATCAGCCCCACACACCAATAACTTATGGCAACACAAAAAATAGCAACACAAAAAAACATGGGAGCGGTGGAGTGATGAGGAGGTGTCGGCGTTCTGGCGATTTACTCGGAAGTCCCCAACTCCGGGGACTTCCGGCCTGGAGTATACGCCGTGAAGTGGTTTGCGGCCTGCCAGTAAACCCAAAGCAGAAGAAGAATAAGTGACGTCAGTGGCTTCATTTGCGTTATCTTCCCTCTGGGACTTATTCCGGTGTGAACGCGATCTGTACTTAGTCCAGGGGCGGACTGGCCATTGGGAATACCGGGAGTTTTCCCGGTGGGCCATTACTGAAGTGGGTCGGACACCCCCCCCGGGTGACTAGCCGGGTGGAGTTTTAAGTCCCAATCCGCCCCTGCTTAGTGCCATGGGGGTACTAAGTACAGCAAAGTACTTGGTGTGAAAGCGGCTAATGTCCTTTTTCTTTTATTTACATTAGTGTAACGTGAATATTGCTGTAAATATGTCAGCTGATTTAATGTATATACTGTACATTGACAATTACTGTTTTTACATTTTTAACAGCATTATTTTTTATAATAATCATTTTTGGTGATAATCGACGTTAAACTTCCAATTGGTAACTCTACACAGATCGTTAATTTATTACCAAAAAAATATAAGTAGTTTTTTTGGCAGAGTGTTGCGTTCCTCATAGAAATAAGGCGTGTGTGTGTGTGTGTGTGTGTGTGTGTGTGTGTGTGTGTGTGTGTGTGTGTGTGTGTGTGTGTGTGTGTGTGTGTGTGTGTGTGTGTATCCCAGCATCCCATCAGAGATGCTGTCATGCAGATAGACACTTGAAACAGGCATTTCTATGTGGAACAGGATACAATTTGCTTTCCGTTTCTTGTTTTTATGCAAAATAGTGGTGTTTGCTGATGTTCCTAATTGAATAATTCAAGAAACCATTTCAGGAAGTGTGTTGATAATGACTTCTCATTTATTTTATTTATAATATCTTACTGTCAACATTCTTCTTGGTTAAATCGCAAAGGGGAGGACTGGCGCTGCTTGGCTTCACCCAGTGTAATAATGACAGTACATTTGGATACCACGCTGTATAATTAACAAGTCATCAATGAAATACCACAAACGCTTGTTCACTTATAAGCCATGCTAGCTCCTGCTCCTAAACAACATCTGTCAGGCTCTGACATGTAATGTACACGGTGTGACTGAAAATACATTAAAGACAAATTAGGAGCAAGAGTATTTGTAGGTATATATGTTTATACATTCAACTTAAATGCATATATACTGGATATCATATAAGATATATATGAATGGTAAACTGATCATTTGTATGAAGATTTTTGTATGCAGGATATATAATCAGATAAGGAAACCATGCACATAAACAAATCTATTATATATGACAGACAACCCTGCTTTACATATATCATAAATATTATGTGTAACCTTTAAACCTACTAACTGTGATTAAAATATTTGCATTACAGAATAAGGATACCATATAAAGTAATTACACAATGGGGCAGCTTTGCCGACTGTGTTAATAGGGAAGCAAAGGCAAGGCTGTTGCAGTTGTGGCTGACAAAAATAGAACCTGAAAGGAAAAACCAGCCAAAAAACAGATGTCCTTCATGAAAGCTATGCCAGGCTGATTAAGTAAACACTAGTTATCACTTAGGATAAAATATTACACACATTTTATGTTAAAGGTCACCTATTACGCAAAATCCACTTTTCATGTATTTTATACATTAATATGAGTCCCCTTTGTGTAAAGAGATACAGAACGTTTCAGGAAAAAAGATTCCCTCTCTGTTTGTCCTGATCCATCCAAAAGAAAATGTTTTTTTGGAATGTGCAACCATTAGCCAATAACTAACCAAGGTAATACCAGCCAGCCTTATCACTTGAATCTCCTCCTAGAGCACCATTGTGTTCTATTAAACCGAACACTTCCACAGAGGAGCGTGGCCAGCAGCAGCTCATTAGCATTTAAAGTAACTGACAAAGAATCATCACTTTTGGAACAGGGCTGAAACCGAGGGGTTTATGGGATGCTACAATGATCTGTTTGGTGTTTCAGCCAAACACTTCAGAGACATGTGTTGTATATAACTGGAACTATAATATATTGATGAAAAACAGTATGATAGGGGACCTTTAAGATGGAAGTCGTAACTCATGGTGTTGCAGTGATTAGCACTGTTACCTCACTCCAAAAAGGCTCTCTGTTTGACCCTGCTGACCAGCCTGGGCCCTACTTTGTGTGTTTGTAGAGGGTTCTCCCCATGGTTAATTGTTAGTTGCTCTTAGAGTGGCGCAAGAATGAATCCTGAAACCAATAAATGAGTTAGCATTTTAGCACTTTCAGTTCATTGTCTCAAAGCTATTGTTTTTTTAATTGGTAAGATTTCTGAAATAAGGTCTGTGGTTAACACAAGCTTAAGAGATTTTTATGTTCCACAACGTAAAATACATCCTGAATCCCCACTCTTGAATGTCTCAAGCTTTTAAGTGTCGGCGGTTGCTAACAAGTGGCTAAATAAGACTACTAGACGTCATCACGGCGAACATTAGCCGCCTTTAGCTTAGCAGTGGTGCCGCGCAGTCATGCAACCATGATGTAGTTGTTTGTAGCCTAACGTTAGCTTTTGACTTCTGGTGATTGCATTTACAGGTCTAAAATAACAAAAGTGGTGTTTATATGTGGAGACTATTCTACTGAACAAAATGTGTAAGTATTCTTTGCCACAGATCTTATTTTCTGCAATATACCAAAATCCACTCGAAAAATCCGTCCACACGGCGGCGTGCGTTGAAGCTTGCTGGTGAGCTTTTCTGAAACTCGACCAACAACCAATCACATTAATCTCCCGCCCCGGACACACAAGCACGCGGTTTGATTAGCTAGAGCTTGTACTGGCATATGATTTGATTGGCTGACGCTTCCGCCGAAGCTTCAAAAGTTGAACATTGCTCAACTTTTGAAGCGAGCAAAGCGAAGCAACGCTCCCACAATGCAGTTCGGCAAAGCGTGACGTAACCTTATTCAAAGTGAATTGGCAGAAGCGTTGAAGCTTCAACGCACGCCGTCGTGTGGACGGGCCGTTAATGTTGCTAACTTCCGGGTATACATCATCGCTCCACCACATTGTCTCTCTTTCCTGCTGTCTGTCTTTATGTGTCAGCCCTGTGGTTGTTTTGCGATCAGTCCAGGGTGTGCTTCACCTCTCACCTAATGTCAGCGGGGATCAGCTGTGGCCCCCTGCTGTGCTGCAGAGGACAATTGGTTTCAGATAATAGATGGATTTATGTTAACACTGATCATACTATCAAGGCTCAGTGGCGGCTTACATGTTAAAGAAGCTAGCTAATAGCTATTGCAAATCTCCAGACTGGCAGGATCAATCTGGGAGGGGTCACTTGAGATGTCCCTGATTCCTCAACCCCAACTGATCAGTGGCCGGCAGATCAGAGTGTGTTTGTACTGGACAGCTTCCAGCTGTGCATACGTGCAACTGTGTGAATGTGATCAGGGGCTTCCTTTTATAATTACATTCAACCAAACAAAAACTTCCCGCTGAAAACGTTTTAAGAATAGGAGGGCATAATGTTCTAACAATGTTATCACCAAACATTTTAAGAATGTTTTTAGAGAACGTTATCCTACCTTTCAGAAGAACGTTCTGGGAACCAAACAAAAACTTCCCGCTGAAAACCTTCTTAGAACAATGACTGTAACATTCTCAGAACGTTTTTAGAACCAACATTTTCTAGCTGGGAAGGCAGGTTTGCCATCACTTACTGTACGGAGGCTCAGTCATTGGTACACGTTTATTTATAAAGCTTTGTTGGGTAAACTCCCGTATTACATCTGTTCTCTGATAACACAGAGAGTTGCAAGCAGCTATTGTCTTCAATCGCATGATGTAGTATTGTTAGATGTAAGCAAGGACTGTCTTAGGTAAGACAGCTTTTGTGTGCGCACCTCCACTTGCTTGGAACAATCTTCAGCAAGAATTGAAACTGAGCAATCTCATTCCTCTGCATGTTTTTAAAGCTAGGCTAAGTGAAATGCTCTTTGATACTATGGGCACATGTAAATGTCGATAACTATGTAAATGTAGCCTGTAAATATATAGTGTAGTGTCCTTTATTGTTTTATGTTGTTTTATGTTTCATGTGGAACCTATTTGCTGCAGGTCTCCCTTGAAAAAGAGATCTATGATCTCAATGGGACCAATCCGGTTAAAAAAGGTTTGAAATTAAATGAAATATATAAATATATAATATATATAAAATAATGTAATATATTAAATGATAGCCTATGCATTGGATTATTATTGGTTTTACTAATAATAGGATTAATAATTACCTCTGAAAGTAGAAGTCTAGGGAAAATAATTGCTAGCAAATATTCATCAACACCAATTGTACAATTTCCTTAACAAATTGGTTTGGTAACAAAAAAATGGTTGTGCATCGATATATTGTGCATGCACATAACACACAAATAGTGTACAGTATGTGGGTGCACACTAACGTGTATCTGTGCTATTGTTCCCAGGAATTCATTTACAATAAAAAAAATCCTTCCTTTACAATTAAAACTCAAATGTACAATTTCTACAATATATATATATTTCTTAAATGGCATTTGAAATGTGATTAAAACTGCTCCAACTTGCTTTCAAAAGTTTTCACTGCACGTTTTTTTAGCAGTGAGCACTACATACAGTATATGTGACCTGCTCTATGGAAATCAGTCGCATTGACCCGACGACACATTTTGAGTTGTATACACTGTTGGCAAGAGGAGATTGCTAGCTTTCTAATGATATCAGGATTGTTATTATTAATTATTAATTTTGAGGAAAAGGCCTTCAACGTTTTCTCTTCTCTGGAATCCATCGATCTGATTGATTATTAGCGGAGCAAATGATCAAAGTAGTACGGAGGGAATATATTTTCGTTTGGGTTACTGGTCTGGGGGAAGAAGCTTGCGAGTGTGTGTGTGTGTGTGTGTGTGTGTGTGTGTGTGTGTGTGTGTGTGTGTGTGTGTGTGTGTGTGTGTGTGTGTGTGTGTGTGTGTGNTGAAGAACACGCTGACAGCTTTGGGGAAGGCGTAGGAGAAGCCAGTAATTACGAAGCCCCCGGCCAACACTGCCCACCCCCAGCCGCCATCTGGTGCCTTCACCCCAGGAGGTGCGTCGTCCACCACTGCTCCTCCCATGATGCTCTTTGACTACTTTGTAGAGGTCAGTGGCTATAAACACTGGTAAAAACAAGAGGTCAAACAATGTGTTTATAATTACTTAAGTCAAAATCAGAAGTGTGTGGTTAATCAACCCAATCATGTGTAAAAGCTATGTACACCACAGTGCAAAACTTAATATCGCCTTTGAAATGTTGGAATGGCTACATTTCTTCTCCCTGTTCATTTCTAATGGTCAGCATCCATGTCACATGATTGGCAACTTACTCTCGGTGAAAACAAAAAAGATGGCGGGCACAGTTCAATAAAATGACAGGAATAACATAACAGCCATGATAATGATGCAAACTACACACAATATACTGTTTTTTGCTATAAAAAAATCACTTAACCTGTTCGGTTTGAGGCTAGTATTCTTGGGAGAGGTGGGTTTGTTTTATTTACAATATGAGCACTTCTATTTTTATAGACTCTGCATGGGAGAGTGTGTGTTTTGTGTAGGAGTGTGTTTGAGTGTTGTATTCATTACAGTAGAGGGTGTCAATCAGGAAACATGGCATCTGCGGTGCGGGATTTACTATTAACAGCTTGTCAGGACGGATGAATATTCTTCATCACCCAGTCGGAGTCCACATAACTCACATACTCCGCACATGGACATACTACTGCACAGCCTATGATCTCTGCTGTTCATCCTCACACAGTACCGTACTCTATACATATGGTATAGTATATAACTGTGTTGTAAAATGTCAGGGGTGGATGTACTCAGATCCTGTACTTAAGTAAATGTAGGAATCATTTCATTTCAAACCTTTATTTAATCAGATTGGTCCCATTGAGATCACAGATCTCTTTTTCAAGGGAGACCTGCAGCATATAAATTCCACATGAAACATAAAACAATAAAGGACATCATACATTATATTTACAGGATACATTTACATAGTTATAGACATTTACAAGTGCCCAGTAGTATCAATGAGCATTTCATTTAGCCTAGCTTTAAAAAACATGCAGAGGAATGAGATTGCTTAGTTTCAATTTGCTTGTTGGCAGCAGTCTTCACGCAAGAATTGAAACTAAGCAATCTCAATTCCTCCTGCATGTTTTTAAAGCTAGGCTAAATGAATGCTCATTGATACTATGGGCAGGGGCACTTGTAAATGTCTATAACTATGTAAATGTATCCTGTAAATATAATGTATGATGTCCTTTATTGTTTTATGTTTCATGTGGAATTTATATGCTGCAGGTCTCCCTTGAAAAAGAGATCTGTGATCTCAATGGGACCAATCTGATTAAATAAAGGTTTGAAATGAAATGATTCCTACATTTACTTAAGTACAGGATCTGAGTACATCCACCCCTGACATTTTACAACACAGTTATATACTATACCATATGTATAGAGTACGGTACTGTGTGAGGATGAACAGCAGAGATCATAGGCTGTGCAGTAGTATGTCCATGTGCGGAGTATGTGAGTTATGTGGACTCCGACTGGGTGATGAAGAATATTCATCCGTCCTGACAAGCTGTTAATAGTAAATCCCGCACCGCAGATGCCATGTTTCCTGATTGACACCCTCTACTGTAATGAATACAACACTCAAACACACTCCTACACAAAACACACACTCTCCCATGCAGAGTCTATAAAAATAGAAGTGCTCATATTGTAAATAAAACAAACCCACCTCTCCCAAGAATACTAGCCTCAAACCGAACAGGTTAAGTGATTTTTTTATAGCAAAAAACAGTATATTGTGTGTAGTTTGCATCATTATCATGGCTGTTATGTTATTCCTGTCATTTTATTGAACTGTGCCCGCCATCTTTTTTGTTTTCACCGAGAGTAAGTTGCCAATCATGTGACATGGATGCTGACCATTAGAAATGAACAGGGAGAAGAAATGTAGCCATTCCAACATTTCAAAGGCGATATTAAGTTTTGCACTGTGGTGTACATAGCTTTTACACATGATTGGGTTGATTAACCACACACTTCTGATTTTGACTTAAGTAATTATAAACACATTGTTTGACCTCTTGTTTTTACCAGTGTTTATAGCCACTGACCTCTACAAAGTAGTCAAAGAGCATCATGGGAGGAGCAGTGGTGGACGACGCACCTCCTGGGGTGAAGGCACCAGATGGCGGCTGGGGGTGGGCAGTGTTGGCCGGGGGCTTCGTAATTACTGGCTTCTCCTACGCCTTCCCCAAAGCTGTCAGCGTGTTCTTCAAGGAGCTGATCCTAGAGTTCGATGTGGGATACAGCGACACTGCCTTGATCTCATCAATACTGCTCGCCATGCTGTACGGCTCAGGTAGACATGGGTGGTACAAGACTGGGGGGATAAGCTGTTAACATCAAAATGATATATACCACACTACACATGTGCACACTTAATTGACGTATTGATTATGTTTTCTCAGGCCCTCTGTGCAGCGTGTTGGTGAACAGGTTTGGCTGTCGGCCGGTGATGATGGTCGGCGGACTCTTCGCCTCCCTGGGAATGATATTGGCCTCCTTTGCCACAAGTATCATACACATCTACCTTTGCACTGGAGTTATTACAGGTAAGGTCATAAAGAACATGCACAAAAATAAAACATGTAAAAAGGCTACATAAATATGCATGCATCTAATGCAGTGTTTCTCAAACTTTTTTATACCAAGGACCACTTAACCAATAAAAAAACACTCGCGGACCACCTAACTCCACAAATATCCAAAATCACATCGTTTTTCTAGAGCAGATTACAAATCGCCTGAAAATGGTACAAACAAGTGGCAACATGTGTGATGAAGGTGTTGCGCTGGGCTATATTATGACATTGAAAGTGAAACTTAGGCTCGCTCCATTGCGGAGATATTCCCGCGAGAGTGAGGAAAACTTAAATTTATTTATTTATTTCAAATGTTACCAATATACTCACGGACCACTAGGGGGTGCTCACGGACCACACTTTGAGAAGCACTGATCTACTGTATATCTGTATATTCATTACACTCCATGGAATTTGGCTTACGCTTTTATCCAAAGAAACGTACATATACTTAAATATTGTAGACATGCTTACAAAGCAAATTGTGGTTACTGTATCTTGCCCACAATTAGTGAGTTTTCAGATGACAGTTAATGGTCCAGCCCTCAACATGTCTATCCCACTTCAACATATTGACTGCAGGGGGTGGGATTAACCCAATAACCCCTGGTTACATCCTTCTTGTTCTATTGGTTAATTTCCTTACAATACACACTAACAGTATTGACGAAACATGACAAACGATGCAAATGTTTTTGTTTTTTTCCTTCTACATTTTTTGTCAGTTGCTTTTTCCATTCATCAAAGCAACATATTGTGAAAAAAACGTCCTAAAGTTGCCTATCACTTTTACTTTGGATATTCCTGCAGAATATGTATATTGTTGATGACTTCCTGACCTTTCCACTACTGTCATCATCTGGGCAAAATCAATGTAACAGGAAATATGCAAACTTTAGAAACACTGATAAACCTCTTCCTGCTGATGAACCTGAACCTCTTAGCTTTATTCTAATGCCATCTTAAGGTTAACATAAGCCTTGATCCAAAGGACTTTCACATTCATGCCATCAGGTGGAAAAACATAAAGAAACAATATGATATGAAAATTACAATATGATACATTTACAACACCATTCTTGGGACCTACTCAAACTCTACTTTTCCAAATGTAAAAGAAACAGCCACAATTATCTTGAGATGATCCAAGTTTCTATGGAAGTTCAAAATGGTTAGGCAGTGAACTCTAGTGGCCATAGTAATAATTACAGTAAGTTACAGTTGCAGTAATACTGAAGTCAGTTCATGAAGTACAAGGAACACACAAGTCTGTGTAGGGTTGAGTTTGGGAGGTCAAACAAACATGGAGCTTTTGTCCAGGATTAATGCCAACGCCATTTAATGGTTTAATGTCATCTATATATATAGATGACATCAAACCATTAATGGCGTATTAATAGAAAATCATATATATATATATATATGCATATATGATATGACAATACAACTTTTGAATTTGAATTGAATTCTCGAAATAAAACTTTTCAACTGCTGTATTCAAACTTTACTTCTCCATATAGAACTGTACGCTTTTTTTTAATTGCTTGATATTGAATGTCCTTTTTAGTCTATCATTTTGGTACAGACTTAAATTGAAAACGACATTTCTAAATACAATTTTAGCCACAAAGAATTTGTCTTTCCATGTCCAAAACGACAACAGAGACTGAGTCCTTTCCAGTGTTTATGTCTCAAGATGCTTCTATGTGTTGGTGTCCCTCTAGTATACCTCTCTCCCTCACCCCTAACCTTTTGCAAAGTGAATTATTTCTGTCTGTCTCTCTGTCCTTAGGTCTGGGTCTGGCGTTGAACTTCCAGCCGTCTCTCATCATGCTGAATCGCTACTTCAGCGAGAAGCGTCCTCTAGCCAATGGCTTGGCGGCAGCAGGCAGCCCTGTGGCGCTGTGCTGCCTCTCCCCACTGGGACAGGTACTCCAGTACCACTATGGCTGGAGGGGGGCGTTCCTCATACTCGGGGGCCTACTTCTCAACTGCTGTGCCTGTGGGGCCCTCATGAGGCCCCTGTTGCCCCCTAAAAAGGCAGAGAACCTGGAGGAAAGCATTCCCACAGAGGAAAAGAAAATCCAGCCGAAGAAGAAGCTGTTGGATTTCAGCGTGTTCAAGGACAGAGGTTTCATCATCTACACCCTTGCAGCGTCCATCATGGTGCTGGGCCTGTTCGTGCCCCCCGTGTTTGTGGTCAGCTACGCCAAAAGCCTTGGTTATGAAGACACAAAGTCTGCATTGCTCCTCACCATCCTGGGATTTGTTGATATGTTCGCTCGACCTATCTGTGGACTCATAGCCGGCACGAAGTGGGTCCGACCCAGAACTGTGTACGTGTTGAGCTTCGCGATGATCTTCAACGGGTGCACCGATCTCATAGGATCACAGGTAATTAAGCAGCATTCGGTTCAATGTAACAAGAGGATAGAGATGATCATGCCTATGTGAAGCGTTTTCAGTTTAACACACTGACTAGAAACCACATCCATTGACATCCTAAAGGTCAGAGAACTGGACTACTTGGCTCATACTGGAAAAATAACAGGATAAAAAAAGAAACAAAACATATCAATTAAATATTTAAGAGATTATAACATTTAATGCCTATAAAAATCAGTAGTAAAAAGTGAATGTTGTTCGGTCGATTATTTCAGTTGATTATTCTGAAGGGAAAACTGTAAATTAGACTGATATACTTTTTTATATGTGTATAGTTGGGCTAGGTAACTGCAGTGCTGTGTCTCAATTCAGAAACTCCTGTACTGACGTGATTTTTTGAGAGCATATATAGTATAGCAAAATGCACTATGAGTACCCAAACGACCACGTAACAGAAGTAACCGTTACTTTGGTCAACACAGTACTGTACAAATAAAAGTTTTCTAGTAGGTTTTTTTTCATTAACATGTACTACTATTCCAGTGTCGAAAATAATCTTCTTTTATTTTGCGGGATTTGAACTTGCAACCTTCCGATCATCTTCAGCCCACCTCACTATCCATTAGACCACCACTATCCTAACAGCTGTGATAGTGCAGTTTGAGACATCACTGCCTGTTAAAAATTCACAAACTGTGATAATAGTGTATGACATTGCAATGTACTAAGGAGAGCATCTTAAATTGAGACACAGCATAAGTCTTTAGCTTTAGTCATTACTGGTCAAGTAGCCTCATTCCTTCACCTTAATGTCCTATGCTAACCTGACTTTTCTTCTACTTGCAGGCAAAAGACTACGGTGGTCTGGTGTTCTTCTGCATCTTCTTCGGCATTTCGTACGGCATGGTTGGAGCGCTGCAGTTCGAGGTCCTCATGGCTGTCGTAGGAACGGAGAAGTTCTCCAGCGCCATAGGCCTGGTGCTGCTGGTGGAAGCTATCGCTGTTCTAGTGGGACCTCCTGGAGCAGGTCAGAACAAGGGAGGAAAGATTGAGACAGTGAAATAGTAAAGGGGTTGACAGTAATGCTAATGTTCTCCTTCTCTCCACCAGGTCGCCTCCTGGACTACACCAATGTCTACATGTACGTCTTCCTGTTGGCGGGCTGTGAGGTCACACTGTCAGCTATGGTCTTAGCCCTGGGCAACTTTTTCTGCATTAAGATAAAACACGGAGAGACAGAAGCTAAATTGGAGATGGCTGTGAATGCTGCAGAGAAGGAGGGGCTGAATCGCGGGGTGGAAGAGGAGAAAGACCATGATGGCGAAGAGGAGCCAAAGGGAAAAGACAATGGAGAAGTCTGCGCTTTAAAAGCAGGGGAGGAGGAGATAACGGTGATGGAGACGGGGGAGAAAGAGGAAGAGAACAAATCGATATGAAGGATAATACTGAGGAATGAGAAACTGTTCACCAACAGGAAGTCAAATGTTCTAAGGAGGATCTGTTCACAAACGCTGAGCTAGGAGCCACACAAAGGGAAAGGGTCTAAGTATTGTAAGGGGAGAAAATATTGCCCTTTAAATAACAATCTATTCTGATAATGACTGTTTATCATCAACACGTGTTTTTGCCCTATTCGGCTCTAATGCAACATATGGATGTGATTCAAAACGTGTATTACTGTTAATGAGTTAAATGGAGAGTCTGAAACACAATTCCTTTGGGCATTAAAGGTCTCACTCACTCAACACCTTTTTTGAGTAGGCTCGGCTCAGACACAGATTACATTTAAGGACAAGGACATTAAGTTTTATGTACTTTTCTCAGCAGTTTTTTGCAGTTGTTTTACAGACAGATGCTGTTTTCTTCAGAATTCAAACTGTTCCACCTTTCATTTCCCTAAGGATTCCAAAAAGGTTGACTAAAAATGCCAGTCAACGTCCACTTACTAGCTCTTTTGTCAAGCTTTCAACAACTTCTCATAGCTTTGTACAACAGATGGGGTTTGCTCAGCTGCCATCATATGACCTACTGTAAGCTTTGTGTCTTTTGGGTACACCAGCAGAGATATTAGGGTGGGAGCGGTTTGTGTGCTGCGAAACACAAACTGCAATGGTCTCGGTTTTTGATTGCAGACCACTTCTTTAACTTTCTACTGCAGTGGTGCCAGATCTCGGTCCCAAAAATGTGTTGAATCTCATAAGAGCTGAGCGCCGGAGCGGCGTCAGTCAGAGGCTGAGCTGTAGCAGTTTACGGTGAGAGCTTTAAGTGGTTGCAAAAGCTGTGGTTCCAAGATCACAAAGTGGCTACAACGCAAACACACACACATACACTGAACAAAAATATAAATGCAACACTTTTGTTTTTGCTCCCATTTTTCATGAGATGAACTCAAAGATCTAAAACATTTTCTATATACACAAAATAACCATTTCTCTCAAATATTGTTCACAAATCTGAAAAAATCTGTGATAGTGAACACTTCTCCTTTGCCGAGATAATCCATCCCACCTCACAGGTGTGGCATATCAAGATGCTGATTAGACAGCATGATTATTGCACAGGTGTGCCTTAGGCTGGCCACAATAAAAGGCCACTCTGAAACGTGCAGTTTTGCTTTATTGGGGGGGTCTGAGGGGGTCCGAAAACCAGTCAGTATCTGGTGTGACCACCAGAGTCCTAACATGTCACCCATTGAGCATGTTTGGGATGCTCTGGATCGGCGTATACGACAGCGTGTTCCAGTTCCTGCCAATATCCAGCAACTTCGCACAGCCATTGAAGAGGAGTGGACCAACATCCCACAGGCCACAATCTACAACCTGATCAACTCTATGCGAAGGAGATGTGTTGCACTGCGTGAGGCAAATGGTGGTCACACCAGATACTGACTGGTTTTCGGACCCCCCAGAACCCCCCAATAAAGCAAAACTGCACGTTTCAGAGTGGCCTTTTATTGTGGCCAGCCTAAGGCACACCTGTGCAATAATCATGCTGTCTAATCAGCATCTTGATATGCCACACCTGTGAGGTGGGATGGATTATCTCGGCAAAGGAGAAGTGCTCACTATCACAGATTTTTTCAGATTTGTGAACAATATGAGAGAAATGGTTATTTTGTGTATATAGAAAATGTTTTAGATCTTTGAGTTCATCTCATGAAAAATGGGAGCAAAAACAAAAGTGTTGCATTTATATTTTTGTTCAGTGTATATATACTGTATGTCCCACATTATTTACCAGCTCAAATGTTTACTATCTCACAGCAGTGGAAAGACAAAGGTTAATCATGATTTATCACTGATTATCATTGTGATTAACACAGCACTAATAATGTTCCCTCTCCAGTCTCCATTATCATTACGTACTAAAAAACGGCCAAACACCAGTTGTGCTTATGTCAAAAGAACTTGAACTGAAACAGTTTAAAGCTTTCGAAGGCTTGTAGGTGGACATTGCTTCAAAAATATATTGTCAAGCTAATATAAAAAATGAATGTATTTATTTTCGTTTGTTACAATAGGACAGCAACTCGCATTTGAAAATTGTTTGTACAACTATTTAAAAAAGGGGCAGCTAAATGTCATACTGTAGCTGTTCACTAATTGCTGCCATGTTAGTCTTTTTGTTTTGTTGTCACTGAGCTACTAGTGAGCTTTCTTCATATGCTGCCTGATACATTTGTGTATCTTGAATTGTCAGTCTGTGTTGGTGTTGTTTACTCAGCTTATGAATGTACGTCCTCTTATGCCTTTACTACTGTTGATGCTGCAAGTGTCCCTGGGCTGTGTTGGTATGATGTCCAATGCTGGGATCCATGTGCTCTACTCTACCTTAAGCGTCTTTGGGTTGAAGAAAAGCGCTATAGAAATATAATTATTATTACTGTCTGTATTCCATTTAATGTTAAAACACTTAGAGCAAGCACCCTGTTGCTTGGTGAATAAATGGAACGCACCTGCTGCTTTTACACTGCTATTTTTCTGAGTGATGTCAAACACAATCTAGGCATGTGGTGCCTGATTTTCCCAAATAAATATGTTTTCTGTGGACAAATGACATGTGTGTTCTGTTTTGTAGGACACTCAGATGAACTGATTCATGAGCAGGAACTATGTACAAGTAATTCATTTATTTACAGTTTAAGTACACAAAGACAGTGGCAAATATAAATATGAGAAAGTAAATCTCGCTGATCTGTTTGCTTACATAATTCACTCGATGTAAAGCGGCTGACCGAAGAGGTCAAGGGTCAAAATCCAATATTAGAGGAGCAGCAGCAGGAAGAATGAAGTACAACCATTTCATTCTGAAAGACATGGCAGAGAAGTGTCCAGATTGAAAACAAAACCCCACTGCTGCTGTAGAAGTTCAGCTTTCCTTTCAACAAAGAATGCTTTCTCAAAGTGTTTAAGAGGATTCACAAAGAATGCATTTCAGTACCGATACTGCAGTTTGTCACATTGGTGGTCGATCACTGAACCTCTAATACCAAGAACAGTGACAGCAAGCATGGCGCACAAAAAGTATTTCACATTCATCTTCCCTGCCAACAGCACGCTCTCTGTAGGGGCCAGCTGATGGGACACTACATCTAGGCATCTCAAACTCAGGTTCCTAGAGCAAGCCACACCCATCGACAGATGAGCAAACATTTTTACAACATTATTACAAGTAATTCACAGCTTGGAAATTATACAAATAAGAAAAAATGTTTCTCTGTACAGTGAATGGACACCTGGTAAAATATGCTAGATGATGTCCTTGCCCCGTACGTAAAGTGCACTTCCTAGTATGGAAATACTAGAAGGGGAAGCGGGCTCATTGGACCCGGAGCCTGGAGGTGAAGACAGAACATATTGCCAACTAGCGTGTAAACACACAACCTCCATCACCCAACATACCATAGCAGATTAGTGGTACGTTCAGGTGTTCAACTAGCAGTCGAGTCCACACCTGACGCTGAAGGCTCACCCCTAAAACATGCAAAGAAGTACTTTCTTTTTATTTAATACAAATGGCTAAATAGTTACTGAAGAGAGCCCCATCAGTGGTGGTGGCCATCATTAAATCAGGAAAAGTGGTCAGTGGGAATGAAAAGTGAAAAGCATCACACCCCAAAAATTACCTATATTTATTTATAAAATGAAGAGCTGCTGCTTTATTTTTATACACTTTACTGCACAAAAGAAAGATTTTATTGATCAGGTATCGAAGTAGCAGTGGAAATGTGGGGTCCTCGATGACAGATGCTTCTGCAGAGGAAGGAGTCTAAACTCTCATCAGTGAGTCCAGCTGCCATGTTAGCCTCAGACACAGCACTGTCCATTCAGACTCTAGTGGTGGTGGTTTGTTTACGTCTCCTTAAAAAGCAGACGGAGTCTTCCCGAGGTCTGGTCACTGTTAAAGGTTCTGGGAGAGGACCAGAGTCTGAATGAGACAGCTGTTCTGAGAGCAGTCAGAAAGCAGTGAGTCAGAAGGTGCTCCCAATGGTAGCTGTAGTTAGGAATATTAGTTAGTAAGAATATTAAGATTGCTTCTTAGTGGAAAGGGCCTGGTCTGCCAGGGTGCATTGTGGGTAGGCTCATCGAGGAGCAAGAAGATGGAGACCAGCGGTCTGTACACCGGACATCATCTGGGGGAAACACAGCACAGGAAACAGGAGGATCAGAAACTAACACACCCCTAGGGGCATTAGAGGAGCAGTGTGTAGGATCTGGAGGCTTCCAACTGAAACCCCCCCCCACCTCTCTCAGACACACCTATTTTGAATAGGTGTGTCTGTTCTGATTACTGTAGGAACATGTCCGTGCAACAGAGGTTTCCCTGAAGAGGAACGGCTCCCTATTCAGTTCTGGATGACTCGTCCTCCACTAACTATTGTTTTAGGTGACGATACACTGATGGAAACATAACGCTGATATTCCATTTCCTCTAAAAGATCCCCAGAAGTTACACACTGCTCCTTATAACTTTACATGCATGCTTATCTGTACTGTCACACCTTCTGAATCAACATGTGGGTAGCATCTACATTCATCAACAGTCTAAATGTGTTTTAGAGTCGAAAATTCACCTAAAGCATTTAATACTCACGTTCAAAACGACCCCATTTCTAAACTGGAGTAACAGCTGGTAGTAACTAGAGATTGCTGATTGGTAGCTTGTAACAATATCAGATCATTTTCTGGCTACGGACAATATCAAGCAAAAATAACATCAGTTCTGTCAGGTGAAAAATGGACAGGGAAGGAATACATTTATAGCATTTCATATAGAAACACAAATGTTATATACTGCTGTGATGCAGGGAAGGAACACTAATAGGGTGGGCTTACAGTGCAGCTTACATCAGGCAAAACATTTGCAAACATTTATGAAATTCCAAAACTAGGAGGGTTAGGGAGTGAAATGATTAGCGGCTGAGCTCTCAAGCAGCTGCAGCCCCAAGATATAAATGAAGTGGAATGAGCAAAGACAAGAGAACAAAAACAACTCCTTCATTCTATAAGACAAGGCTCAAAAATACAGTCACAGGAAAAAGATACAAACATATTACTCCTATAAACACATTTTGCGCATTGATAATTGTGGTGTTGCAAACTAACTGTTGCATTACTTGCCCTCTGATATTTAGAGGTGTGTTCAAATTCAGGTTCATGAACTCATCTGGAAAGTACCACGGAAATAAAAGCAGAATTTGTCATAATTGCTACACCTGAAGTTACAGTTTGTTCACTTCCTGCAGTGGAAAAGGCCTGCATGTTATCCTGGTAGTCATGTTCAGCAAACCTCGAGGACATGTGATGGCCAAAACCTCTTTGAGACACTGTGTATACATAATCTGTTCCTTGGCTTTTTCAAGGAAGCAAAATAAACGTTTTTCCTTTCAGAACATGCTCTCAGCCACAGCCAGGACAAAGCTGAACGCTGACATGCAGATAAGAAGCTTCATATCATGCAGGTGCTTGGTGGAAAGATCAGGGGGGGGGGTTGTAGGAAGGCACAACAACTGTGCAAGCAACAAGCCACAGAGCTGAGTAAAGGGGCATTACGTCACCCATGGGGAGGGAAGAAGGGAGTCACATAGTTGGGCTGTGATGCACTGCGATGCATTTTCCAATCCAGTTCTCAGAGGACTCCCCTGCGCTGCTTGTTATTGTCAGTATCTGACTGTTCAATGATAATGCAGCTGTGATGTCATCGTCAGCAAAGTGGCTGTATAACTGAATAAGGCTGCCCTTAACCAAAGATGTTCCTAGTCAACCAGTAATTGTCACTTCCAGGAGTTAATCGATTGGTGGTCACACGTTCATCATATTTTGATGATTATTAAATATATATATTTTTTATTTTGGATTCACAAAATGGCTTCATTTCAAGGGCTAAGAAAGAATGTTACAGGTATATTATTCATATATCCGTACAATTGAATGAAATGATCCCATACTTCGGATTTCTTGACATTATTAACAAAAGTACATTTAAATCATGGCACAACTCCCAAATGAAGTTTGAGGGGTTTTCAGGCTGATGCAACAAAACTTGCTTGACTAAGACTTTTTTAGCTGACGAACATTTGGTTGACTATTGGGGGGGCAGCCCTACAGTTTGATGACTGTTCTAGTCTCTCTCTCTAAGCACAGTGGTGAATAAAGCGAGACTCAGCGCAGCCAGGTGTAGAACTGGAGGTTGGAGCCATGCATCCCGGTGTTGTGCAGGACTCACCCAGTGTTGCTGCCGTCACACAAGGACGTGGCGAGCGTCTACTTGGCGTGATGCTCGTAGGGAATACTATTCTGAGGTTGGGGGGAAGGGAGAGAGAGAAGGCCCAATATGTCAAGTCAGAACCCACAGCCTGCACCAGCCATAACAGCTGGAGGAACAGGACACATGTGGCTGGTGGAACAGCATCAGGACTGTTCTGCTGCTCTGGATCTGAGCACTGTTTGAAGGACTAAACATCAGTCTAGTTTAAATCATGTAGACTAAAGCTAATCTTATGAAGTAGCAAGATACAGACTTCCATAAAAGACCAACGTTTATATTACCATTCAAATGTAAATCCAACTGCAGGGTTGGCCTGTTAAGTGGCCTGCCCCACACAGGGGGACTAGCTGTCTACATGATGTGGCCTGCCGACATGGCCACTGTCATACAGATCATAAATCAAAGCCCTTGACTGTGTGTCATTCAAGCTCGGGATAACCTCAGCTCAGGTGAGGTAAAGGACTCTGAGTGTTTAGATAGTTAACTAAGTTCTCAGTGGGTCTCAAACGGTTTGGTCACCCTTTTTATGTAAACACATATTTCCATTTGAGGGTGTCAGTGTTTTTTCATATTGGAAATGGTATGTTAATGGTTATGGCCATGATTTTATGATTATTGAAATGTATACAGTTATGTTTCATATAGATGTTCCCATAGATCTAGTCTCTTTATTTTCCCCTCAAAATGCACCAGATTGATGCATTTAACTCCAAAATTAAAAAAAAATAATCTTACCGGGGGAGCATGCCCCCAGACCCCCCTAGAGGATTTGAGGTCCACCCCCACTTAATATCACATTGATAGGTTCCTAAATATATTTACAATTTGTTTTAAATAGTAACCCATGGCCATATGTTTATTTGTGGGTTGTAGATTTAAACTATAGGGCTATCACTATGGGCCCTGCCTGTACCTGTTCGCTCTGCCATCGTGTGAAGGGTCTGCTAACAAGCGACCAACAGAAAGGTTAATGTAAATGTTGTTGCACGTCACAAAGGCACGTCACCTCATACTTATCAGTTACTGGAAAGAAATAAAGATTACAAAATTAAATATGTTTTCTAGTCAGACAGTTTATTATAGACTGAGTATCTTGTACAGCATTAAGGGGGCACACCCAAGTCCAGGGCTGCCNATATGTCGCAAGACCTAATGTGATTGATTTGCCTTTTTTTACATGCCAAGGTTTCCATATGAATCGCATGTGTTAACGCGAAAACTATGAAGGGCCGTGTAGGCCAAAATTCCAACTCACCTCGCACACACACTACTGAAAACATCTGGCCTTGCACAAACACTACTGAAATAATCTAACATTCACTACTGAACACCTCGCACATGATGTAAACAAGAAAACCTCCATAGACCAGAAAGTCTCAGTTTGTAGACCGCTCGGTCCATGCTGAATTGGAGCTTCTGTGTCATTATTCTTCTTTAGTGGCGACTTCCAAACGGAGTAGATGAGAATTATTGCCACCTATTAGGGGTGTAACGGTTCACAAACATTTTGGTTCGGTACGTACCTAGGTTTTTAGGTCACGGTTCGGTTCGGTACGTTTTCGGTACAGCAGAAAAAATGATCACAAAACATACATATGTTTTTTTTTATTATTATTAAACTGTGAATAATTCACTAAATAAATACAAAATATAATAAAATAAACATTAATGTGCAGCATTTCGATGAACTGAAATAATCTGTATTTGAACTGTACTGTGCTAGTACCTAAGCAGCCAGTTTGACATTATGACTTGCTTGTCATTGTATTTTCATGTTTTTTTAAAGAAAAATTAACTTGTCCACATTGCTTGCCGAAAGGGCAGATCTGCTGGCACTAACAATGTCTCCTGCTGTGGAGAACACCCTCTCGCTAGGGACAGAGGTAGCAGATACAGCCAGGTAGCGCTTTGCTAACATGGCAACATAAGGATATTTGGCGTTTGTTATAGCTTTCAAATCAAATCAAAGTTTATTTATAAAGCACATTTAAAAGCGATTTTTGGTCGGGCCAAAGTGTTGTACATGTAATAAATACTACAATCACTTAAAAACACATTACTGCATTCATAATAAAAGACAATAAATTACAACAGATATATAGAAAACACAGGGAAAAGTCAGGAGTCGTGCTCCGCTCTGACTAAAAGGCCAGGGAGAAGAAGTGTGTTTTAAGCGTAGATTTAAAAACCCCTAGGGTCTGGGCCGACCTCACATGGAGGGGCAGAGTGTTCCAGAGCCTAGGGCCAGCTGCAGCTTTGGCTCGGTCTAAACTTTTTGCGAGTGGTGGAGGCTTAAATGCTAGTGGTAGTTGGGTTTGCACTTCAGTCTTTTGGTACCGGTGATAATCAAGTTCGGGTGATGCCTTTTCAAATGAGTTTGCAAGTTTGATGTATTGTCAGCCGCATAACCAATTGTAGTTGAACAATGCCGACAAACAGCTTTGGTTCGGTCCACCTGTCTTTGTCCGTCATCCTTGTACGTAACTGCGAAAACAAAATGTTCCCAAAACGGAGACTTCAATGATGCTGGAGGATTTTCGAGCTCATCTTTATCTGCGTTCGCCATTTCCTCAAATTACTGACTAAATTTGAACGCATCCCTCTGACCAGCTCTCATAGTATGCCTCTCGTAAAATGAAATGACTTGCTCGCTCTATGACGCGTTGAACCCAATGTGAGCAAATTACTCTGAATGCTGCGACGCAGCACCTGAGATTACTTCCAAGAAGTTGTTCACGTTCTCAATTGTTTACGTTTAACGTTATATTCGTTCGGTACACTTCGGTACACACGTGTTCCGTTTCATTACAATGACTTCCGTTTCATTACAATGACTTCCGTTCCGAGAAATGATGATGCAAGTTTTCCAGCAGCACCTTGTTTCCAGGTAAAAGGCCAAAAAGGGACCAAAGTACCTGCATAGCCATCATTATACAAATGTTTCTAAAGACTGAGTATGTCTGCTTTTGGTCATAAATCCACGGTACTGTCTATAGGTGAATGTGATTATATTTTGAATGTGTTGCTTAACTTAACTATTCTCAACCTAAACTCAACCCTGCTCATTTTGTTAGACTCATTCCAAAATAATGGTACATACTATACTTTACAACTAAATATAGTACAACAAAATAGTGGATATGCCTTCTCTTCCCTTATTATTCTGGGCAAAGAAGACTGCCAACCAGGGATTACTCCCACAGAGTCTGAAACCTTGGTCACATAAAGGGGAGCAATAAAGATACTTGAACATAATTGCCCCTTCTGAAGTTAAGGGCTATTACGGAGTAGTAAGACAATGAGCAGTTTCGAGTGTCTGGCAATTAGGAAGCAACAATTGGCTGAACAGCAGTCCTGGAAGCACACAATGCTCTTGTCATGAACTCTACTCCATCCTCAAAGTGGGCTTCTGCAGATCAGGGAGAACAGGATATAATGGATTTATCTTCCCTGTGCACTGGCATAGTGCATGCTATCATTACTGAAAATGAGATTTGCTATGCACTCGTTTAAAGATAATTGACCTAGAGACTGCTGCAGCCAGAGAGCTCCCCCTGGGTACAGATTAAGGCCTTTTTTTAACGGGTCAAATGGCGGGCCAAAAAAAGAGAGACAGAAAACTCTTTGGTCCAAATGTACTCTGAGACTGCACCAAAGCCTCACACTAGTAAAACATGGTTTCGGTGAAAGTATGAAGTGAAATAACAATTATACACAGTTTCATTTACCATCCTTGGAGTTGCAGACTAATTTGTTTGTTAGAGAACTAATACAACTATGTTGGGAAAGTACCTAATTGGGTATTTGTGGGAAGGGAAAGGTGAAGAAGTGTTTGCTCAGCAGCACTTCCAGACACCAGGGGCAGTTCTAACATTACCGAAAAAGTGGCTGGCTGCATTGTGTTGACATATACTGCGTATTGTTCAAAATGAAGCAGGAACATATTTCCCAACTCTTTTTAGTTCTGCGAAATAAGATAAGAAGGTTTCCTTTTTTTGTTTTCTTGTTCTTTGTTCAGCCTTCATTTCACCTTTTGGATGTAGAAGAGTCAGAATCAATATAGATGTTTTTATTTTAAAGTAAATTCAGATTGAACATAGTAAAAAAATGTCAATTATAGTGTCCGTCCAAAAGAAATAATTACTTATAGTGAAAACTACCCTTTAATGATGGGTTAGTAGACTAAAAGCTTTAGGAATCCAAACTATAACATATAATAAGTACCCTGTATCAAGATTGATGCAAACAAAGTGAAATTTGACCTTTTTAGAGAGATTTATAAAAAAAAAACCTTCAGGGGTCATTTGGGTGCATTTTCCATATCTCTGGCCCCCCTCGGTCGATTTTGATGATTGACATCTCTTTTTAACCGTTTGACCCAATAGAATCAAGGGGATGTTCCTAAAATCCATCTAAACATTACCCATTGGTGAATGAGTGATGCGCAGCTAGAATGCCCCGGAACCGGAAGCTGCGATACACTCTGGTGGCTATCATTAGCAGCTAATATCAAATCTCAGTTTTTGACATAAAAATGGAATGATGGATTATCAGTAATCATTTCAAAGTGACACAGACACATTGGTTTAACCATTGGATTAACCTTCAGCAGTGTTTTTATCGTTTTAATGCCATTGAACACGACTTTTGATCAGAATAACAGCTAAGGTGAGACGATCTCCGGTGAATGCTCCCAGGGCTCGACAGTAACGGTTGCCGTAAAGCTACGTGTTGTGATGTCTGTGTTTGCTTCCCCTGTCGCGAGTTCTGATCGCTCAGTGATGATACTAATACCTATAGAATCTGTGGAATCTCAGCTTTAATCTGATATTGTGTATGTGCAGTTACGATAAGTAATAAGGGTATTTTTACCTTGAGTTCTGTGCCAAGTGCGTTAGCATTTTTCCGCTAAGGGCTCATTTAGACGCTTCTTGTGAGACTTGTGTTTCGTTTCAGTAAAAGCGGTTCGTATCGTCAGTTAGCTGAGTTTCTTCCCGTTAAATGGGTATGACACATTAATAGGTTTTTAAATATTAAGAAGCCCTGAGACACAGTTTTGTGAAAAAACACCCCGCAGGCCCCGGATTAGGGGCCTCTCGTGCTGAACAGGTTAAACAACCTATAGATTACATTGTATTTAGGGTCAAATACACATGTTTCTAGTCTAGAAAAAAGTTAAGTTAACAGAGTTAAGTGGCTGGATTGGAATTCGGCCAATAAGAAGAGAGCAGGTGCATCTTCAGGGGTGAGTTTTACCTGTGAGGTGGACATGCGGGAGGTGTCCTGCCGTCCTGTCAGATCTGAGGAGGACACGTTGACAGGAGCTCCGCGGTGCAGGCGCATGCTGACCTTTCTCTCACGCTCCATCCCGGACACTTGTCGGGGGGACGTGTTCGCTGGAGACCAGAGATCAAACATGAGGAGGGAATGCATGTGGCGATCATAATAAACACTATTTGATCTATTTATTAAAGTTTCTGATACTTCCATCATTAAACAACATTCCTACCTATAACTATCCACACTTTTTACTGCTGATACATTATGGCATACCATTGAAGGCTATACTTTAACATTACAATCCTAACTACACTGCACTGATGGTTTTACCAGTATTTGCATGAGGAACTGACCTGTGTGTGAGGTGGGTGTTAGCGGGGTGGCTGGGGCTCCCTCTACGGCTGCTCGGGGCCGCCCTGATGCAGCAGGGACTGCTCTGGCCCCCGGGGTCCTGCCGTGCCTCAGCCTGTCCTCCCGGTCCCGCCGCTCCCTCTCTGCTTCCTCTGCTGCACGGTTGGCTCCCTGTGTGAAACAAAAAACAAACTAAAACCACTTCCTTCTTTATGGGACGGGTTTGGACCTAGTTGCAGTTCTCGAGAAGCCTTTAAGTGTAAGAGCTCTAGAATGAAAAGTAGGCATGATAGAAATACACGTGAGTCACTGACAGCGCATGGAGTGGTAAAACAAATTAATAACATGATGTCATTTCCTGTCAGCATTCTTCTCATATAGATAAATTACTTTAAACTAAAATTAGTTTTCCCTTTTATTAATCAGATATAAAATACTAAGATGTCAACACTCCCCAACAAATCAAGACAGGTATCTACAAACCTTTGAGTTTTAATTATAGCTTATATTATACAGTTGAGAATATAATTAGTACTCACAAACTTGAGCATGTTCCAGTCAAACACATAGTCGTAGGAGAAGCCCTGTCTGTGGAACAGGTTCCTGAAGAGCTGCCGGAGGTACGAGTAGTCCGGCTTGTCATCGAAGCGCAGGGAGCGACAGAAGTTCAGGTAGGTTGCAAACTCAGCTGTGGTAGAGAACAAGAAAACACCTCTTAGCTGATGGGATGACCGAGTGACTATTATTGGTCCAAATAATTTTGAAATATCTTAATACTTGTATCAAAAGCCACAACCAATTAAATGCCATGTCCCTTTTAATTCCATGGTTTTATTGAATATGTTTAAAACATTTATTGGGCACTGGCAGTGCAGCAGCAAGTTCTAAGCTGTGTAGATCGTGCACTTAAAATTCATGTTTAAACTTGTGTCAATATGGACATGCTACACGAAACAAAGGTGGTAACTCCCTTCTTTTGAACCTGCCATAAAGTCTAAATATGTGGTGATCCTTAATTTATGATATTCCCAGTCCTTAAGGGGCCACTGTCAAAATGTTGTTGTTCATACAAAATGAATGAAAGTCACGAATGTCAAATCTATTGCTCAATGTCTTCCACACTTGTACAATATGTTCTCTTCTTCCTGCATTGTACACTGTCTTGTAATACGTTGCTAGCCACAAAATGAATGTGAACCAGGTTGTCTCTGCCGAGTTTCCACCTCTTTTTATGTTTGCCAAATAGTTGTGTTGCTGACAGGCAGGTGGCCTTTAAAAGATGTTGTGTCAGTATGACAAGTGCCTTATAATGAGCATTAACTGTTACTGAGAATGAACGCTTAGCTTATCGTATACAAGTAAAATCATACTGTTTAAATGAACATTTCCAGTGTTTCCCATCTTTGCTGAGCAAGAGTATTTTGTTAAATGCCTATTACAGATCTAAGCCTGTTGAGTACAGGGATTGAAGCATTACAACGACTTATTAATTTGTGTTTTAGTGTATTTTTTGGATAATTAATATTGAAGGAAACCTAAAACAAGTAGATACTCACAGGGGTATCCCTTGCAAAGAACCTCAATGGGGGTGGACATTTTCTTCTCACTGATCCGCTCATACTTCTGTCTCTTGGTAGCAGCCTTGAGGCCTTGCCAGGGCAATGAGCCGAGGTTAAAATACATGAGAACATAGCCCAGTGACTCCAGGTCATCACGCCTCGACTGTTCTGTAGAGGGGGGCAAAAGACCAAGAGAGGGGTCAATACTGCACTGTAACTTTCAATTCACTGCCTAAGAAATACAACAATGTGCTTAAAGCCTATTCTGAGTGTTTTGTGTGTTATTTACCAATCCCCAGATGTGTGTTGATTGAGGCGTAGCGGGCGGTGCCGGTCAGGTTCTTGTTCTCTCGGTAGGGGATGTGCTGGTGTGTTCTGGCATCGCGATACTTTTTAGCCAGGCCAAAGTCGATGATGTAGACCAAGTTGCCCTTTTTGCCCAGACCCATCAGGAAGTTATCGGGCTTCACATCTCTGTGGATGAAGTTCTTGGAGTGAATGTACTCAATACGACTGATCTGTAAGGGAGGAAAGAGAAAAATAAGCTCACTGCACCATCATGTGAGGATATTTGGCAAACTCAATCCCACAGTTCAACCGTCTGAAAGATCCTTCTGTACACTAGCCAAGTCATATTTTGTGGGAGGACAAGGGGCAGATGACAGAGTGATCTTGATAAAAATGATGTGAAGAATACCATTGGCCTTTTGAATGGTATTCAATTATTTTTGTCTGTGGACTCGCACCAAATCATGGCATCACATCACCCCGGTCCTCAAAGAACTCCACTGGCTCCCCGTTTCGCACCGCATCCATTACAAACTCCTGGTCCTCACTTACAAAGCCCTCCACCATCTGCCCCCCCCACTACCTCACTGACCACCTCATCCTCTACCAACCACCCCGGTCCCTCAGATCCACCTCAGCTGGTTTGCTTTCCATCCCCAAGGACAAACTCCGGAGCTTCGGGGATAGAGCATCATCAACTCCCTCCCCCAAGACCTCCGTGAGTCTGAGTCCCTCACCCTGTTCCAGCCCGCCTCAAAACCCATCTCTTCAACTCTGTATATCCATAAGCCCCCCCCCCCTCTCAACCAACTTCCTCCTGACTGCTTTTCTGTTTTGTTTTGTTTCTTTTTTT